ACCCGGCTGACATTAATTTATTGTTTATTTCTCTGGGAGGCATGTAGGCCTGGTCATTTTGTCTTTATCTTGAGGTCTGACCTCCAACTGATGGACCTCTGGCCACAATTGTCATGTGTTTTTATCCTGTACCTTGACTTTCCCGAGGGCCTAGCCTTGTCTGATTGCCTATAATATTTTTACCTAGCTTTGTTGTTTATAATGAAATGATATGTGAAATTAAATCTTTAGTTTATAGACACTTAAAATTATTTTTTTGTTTGTGGACACTTTCAAATTGTTAGACTGTTACGATTTACACTTTTATCAGTGTGTGAGAAGATGGGTTTTCCCAAAAGCTTAAGGTAGATGTTTTCAGTGTGAAATTTTACAAATCTGAAATTAAAAATAGAACAGTATTTAGGTTTTTATATTTGTATTTCCCTATTTTCTATGAAACTGAAAGATGTTTCACAGGCAAAAGCTGATTTCTGCTTTGGCCTGTGTAGTTTTATTGTTCATGTGTGAGTGTATGAATTTAAGATAGGGTCTTGCTGTGCTGTTCAGGCTGGCCTTGAACTTATTATGGAGCCCAGGTTGGCTTTGAACTTGTAGCAACCTCAGCCTTAGCCTGAGCCCCGAAGTGCTGGAATTACGGGCATGTGTGCTCCACCATGATGGGTTTGTATGCGTGTATTTTAACAGATTTAGTCAGCAGATCACAGAGAGATGTTTTCCCTGACTTTAGTAAGTTGATTAAGGAGGGCTGGGGATTTAGCTCAGCGGCAAAAGCGCCTGCCTGGCAAGCGCAAGGTCATGAGTTCGGTTCCTGGTACCGGAGAAAAACCAAAAAAAAAAAAGTTGATTAAGGAATACTCCAGTTTATAATTGCCTTTGTTGATAGGTCGGGCAAGTGCTGTCTTCCCGGGGGCAGTTGGCAGAGCCTCGGTTTATCTCCCTTAGCTGGAGCAGCCTCAGTGCAGTGGGTTGTTTTGTTGGAGTGTGGTGGCCTTGAAGAGGTTAACAAGCACTGCCTGTTGGCCTGTGAGTGGTCTTCCTGAGAAGGTGGAAGAAATAAATTATGAGTGATAAATCTAAAACTCAAATTGAAGTGTATTTTTATCATGTCGTTTTTACTAAAAGTTATTGTATTATGTTCTCTACTAAACACCAGCACCATATTTTCTGAGCACCTACAAGACTTAGAAATCACCATAAACTACCGTTCTTAGATGTGGGTTACATTTAAATCTTTTAAGTGGCTTCTTCACCAATAGGTTTTGTTGTTGTTGTTGAATCACTGGCTTTCAATTTTAACCTTCAAGCTGGTTTTTAAAAGCAGTATTGAGGGTTGAACTCGGGCCCTCACACATGCTAGGCCAGCACTCTGTGAATGAACTACATCCCTACACCTTTTGATTTTGAGACAGGCTCTCACTAAGTTGCCTGGGCTGGCCTTGAATCTGGAGTCCTCCTGCCTCAGTCTCCTGAGTAGCTGGGATTACAGGAGTGCATCATGACACCCAGCTGCTTTTAAACTTTTAATGTTGAAATTATCCATGTGAGGGTGGAAGGAGATACTTTCCAGTGCTACTTGTACAGACTCAGATTTTAGGCTCTTGTTTGGAGTATTTAAAAGCTTCTTCCCAAATTACAAAAATTCTCTCTATGTTTTTCCCCTTACCAATAGATTCCAGTCCAGTGTTACCCTGCAATTAAATGTAAAATGAAATTGACCATAGTTTGTTTTTGCTGATATATTTAGAAGAGGCACTACGTATAGAAATTGAATTCATACGTAGTTGTTCTTGACATGTCTTTTCTACTAAAAAATTATTTTTAAAACAATATTCTGGTTTCTAGCTTAATTCATTTAATAGTTGAGTACCTTTGTGTTCCAGGTGCTATATTGACTACTAAGAACATAGCAGTGAAACTGCTATGAGTCCTCCCCTTATGGAGCCAAAGGATGGTGGAGGATTACCCAAAATTTGTAAATTCTGAGAGTAATCTAACATAGTAGTAAGTACCATGCAGAAAGTAAAACAGGATTGTTTGATGGGAGAAGAATAGCATGCTGTTTTGGCTAGGATGATTAGGGAAATTTCTCTTAAGAGATGTTTTTTGAGTGGAAATAATTTGAAAGTAACTCTTTTTTTCCTTTCCTTTTTCCTTCCTGTCCCCTATCCTTTGATTGAGCCTTCACACTGAACTAGTTCTTTTTAATTTAATCTTGAGACAGGGTCTCCCTGTCTTTTAATTCACCCAGGCTGGACTTGAACTTGTGGTCCTCCTACCTCAGCCTCCCGGAGTGCTGGGATTGCTCCATGTTGCCCAGCTTACCTTGCCTGTTTCTGCAGAGTTACAGCTTTTCAGGTAAAGGGAACAAGCAGTTGAAAAATCCTGTGGTGTGAAGACTGGTATGTTGTGAAAGGTCTAGGCAGCCTCATTAAGGCACTTAAGTTTTATTCTGCCTTTTAAACAGGGAGTGATGCCATGAGATTGCTATGATTGCCATGCAGTGCACCGGGGGCCACATTGTCAGACTGGTGAGATGTGCAGGTGAATCTTCCCTCACTCCACCTCACCTGTGTCATTTGTCTTGTCCAGAACTCCTGTGTCTCTTCTTCCTCAGTAGGAAAAAAAGTCCAGGGAAGAAAGGTGGTGTAGGTGCCCACAGAGAGAGTTAGGAGAGAGTTGGAGTGCAGCATAGGTTGCAGAGGCAGGAGACATCTTAGAGTTTTGTCTTTTTTTTCCTCCCTTACAGAAATAGAATAAGTTATAGAAGGTTATAATGTAGTAATAGTAAATTATAAAAAATAAATGTTAAGTAGACTATATACATATATAAAATAACTCTGCATAGTCCCACTGAAATAATCAGTTAAGACTTTGATTAGAATTCTAGATTTTTTGACTCCTTTATGAATTAGATTTCCCTCCCTTTTTGGGGTTAGTGTAAAGGAGAGAGGTTCTGACTGCGTTGTTTTTGCTTGGGTGTCTTTCCATCTCTGTACATGTGGATTTACTTCTGCTTATTTTATATATATACATGTTACTGTGATTTAGTTCTTTCCCTATTGTTGGGTATTTGTTCTTTTCCCCAGTGTGAACCATGCTGCAATTGATATTCTTAGCCATATTTGTATCTTAATAGCCTTGTTTTATATTTCTGTAGGATAAATTCCTAGAGTAAAATTATAAAATCAGTGGGAACATTTTGAAATATTAGTAGTTATTACCATATTCTCTAGAAAACTTGTACTGTGAGAGGAGCCCCATGTTGTCATTGTAGGTCTTGGGACCTGTGGGTTCTCTTTTATGGGTTCAGATGTCGCTTGTTACCTTCTGGGGACTGGTGCCAGGATGCCCCCACTGTTTCCCTGTGCCAAAATCTGCATCTGGTCAAGACTCCCGTAGAAAGTGACATCCGTGTTTGCTCAGAACCTGTGCACACCCTTGTCTGTGGTCACTCAATACGTAGTGCAGTGTAGGTGCCGTGCAGGTGGTTGTCAGACTATTGTTTAGAGAATAAGAACAAGGGAAAAGCAGTATGTGTTTAGTACAGACACACTTAAAACTATTCTTGAGCTGTGGTTGGTTGAATCATGACTGTGGAACCTGTAGCTATAGGGAGGGGTGTTGTTAACACCCAACCTCTTGTGATTTGAGGGTTTACCAGATAGTGGGTAATTGTACAGGAACTTTTGGGTGAAAATGAGGTTTCTAGTCTGTAGTTGTTGGTTGCCTCAGCTCTGACCAAATGACTCTGGTGTCACTGCAAAACATGGTCAGCAAGACCTCTGAGTAGAGTACCCTGGTTCCAATCCCAGCTCTGCCACTCATAAACTGGGTGTGCGAATTTCCTCGGCTTCATTGAGAATGCAGTTCCTACCTACAGATCCCTGTGAGGGTTATGGTGCATAACAGGAAAGAATGTGTGCTGTGTGCACCAAGCAGTTCCTGGTCAGAGCTAGCTGTCATTAATAAAACTAAACACGTTTCTGAAGGAGGCTTGAGAAGGAGACTTTATCAGCCTCGAAGTTTTCCAAAGGAGGAACAAACCACTTGCTTCTGCTGACTTTGAAGCCAGCGTTAGGGCCTTGCTGGTTCTGACATCCAAAACAGTATCTGACTGACCTCGTGTCGTTGGACCCACAGCAGCTGTCTTAGTGCCTCATTAAAACATTTAGTTATTTGGAGTTTGGTGGCCATCTCTCCTTTCTTCTGGTTGTAAATAAGCTTTGCTTCTGCACCTGAACTGATAGTGGCAAATTAATAGACTTTAAGCAGATATGGAATCTGATTGTTACCTGTTCTCTGGGTTTCCCAAGCAAGTAACATGGTTTAAGAAGAATGTGAGCCAGATGTGGTGATACATAGCTGTAGTCCTAGCACTCTGGGTAGCTGAGGCAGAAGGATACCAAGTTTGAGGCCAGACTGGGGAGCTTAAAGATTTAAGAAGATCTGGTGTCAAAATACAAAATGTTTTAAAAGGAGGGGCTGGGGATATAGCTCAGTGTGAAGGTCCTGGCTTTAGTCTCCAGTAAGGGGCTGGAGAAGAGTAGTCAAAGATTTTTTTTGGGTGTTCTTATAAAAAAAATGTTCATATGTAAGGTATTTAACACACATTCTAGAAATGTTTTCTTTCCTTAATAAGTCTCTTAGCTGGGCATGGTGGCACAGGTCTGTAAATCCAGCACTTGGGAGGCTGAAGCAGGAGCATCATGCTGTGAGTTCGAAGCTGTAGTGAGTTCAAGGCAAGCCTGCACTACTTACTGAGACCTTGTCTCAAAAATAAACAAACAAACAAGTCTTTTGACTTCTGGTTTCCATTTCCCTCATTTTGTGCTTTTGTATGAAATATTTTTTGGAAATTTACTATTATAGAAGTTCCTTTGTAATTAGTTTGTTTATAAATTATAAAAATTCACATACCACTATCTTCGCACCCTCTCTATATTTCGTTCCTGGCTTAAGTGCTTTCATTTTAGAATTACAATTATTTGTCTTTCTACCAGGTTTCATTACTGCTTAAGCTGCATCCATGGAGCACATACAGGGTGCTTGGAAGACGATCAGCAACGGTTTTGGACTTAAGGATGCTGTGTTTGACGGCTCCAGCTGCATCTCCCCAACGATAGTGCAGCAGTTTGGCTATCAGCGCCGGGCCTCAGATGATGGCAAACTCACAGAGTCCTCGAAGACGAGCAGCACCATCCGGGTCTTCTTGCCAAATAAGCAGAGAACGGTGGTATGTGCATTCCTCCTAGGAAACTCAGCTTTCGTCCGCCTGTAGAAAATAGTGTAGACCCTGCTGCCCAACTGTGTGCTGGCAGAATCTCATTGTCACTTAGGGGCTTTGGAAACTGATTTTTGTATCCCATTGTATTATTGTTTCTTCCAAACTCCCTACTCTACCGTACCTGGTGACCTTCATTCTGTTACTCTAGCTTGGAATGCCGCCTGTCAGCCCATTCATCTGGGGACACTCCTAAGACTTGTATTTGAAAGGTTTAATTCCTTTATGTTGTTTGTTTTTTGAGACAAGGTCTTCTTTGTAGTTCAAGCTGGCCTTGAATTCACTATGTAGCCCACACTGGTGTCAAACTCACAGTGATCCTCCTGCCTCAGTTGTTCCTGTGCTGGAACGACAGGCATGTGCCACCATGCCAGGCTTGCCTACTGTTTTCTATTAATTTTCTTTCTGACCTTACACTGGGAGGTCAGACAAGGATTGTGAATGTTACGGGAGTCTGAAGACCATGTGTCATTTCCCTTGGCTCTTATTGTCTTCTTCATAATCATTTACTGCCAGTTTAGGTGTGTGGACCCATAGAACCTGGCCCACTTTGAGACCCCTTGCTGCCTTTTCTCAGCTGAGTTATCTAGAAAAGTTACACAGTATTTTGCACCTCTGTGTCCTGACCTTATCAAATGCAGCTCAGACTCAGGGCAGTGGCAGCTGTGATTATTTCATAGCTGTTTTGGTCAGCAGTACAGCCCTTGATGGCTTTCAGGTTGAGAACTAGTGATGTAGAGGCTTGGCTTCTGTAGCTTGTGCCAAGGTTCTGGCAGAGAAGGTCAGGCTCTCCCCTCTCAGGCCACCTCAGAGAGCGCCACCTTCAGAGGGTGGAGGAGCCACCTGCTGGGCATCCTTGGTCTCTTACCCAGGTGGTTTCTTCTACTCTCAGTGGCTCCTGAAATGATCTGAGGAAGTCATTGTGTATGGTGGGTTGTGTGTGTGTGTAGTAAAGAGAAGAAGCAAAGGATAAGTGCCTGATTTTTTTTGAGGGGTACCTTATTTTAATAATGTTAGAAGTAATAATTCACTTTTTTTTTTTTGAGACAGGGTTTCACTGTGCAGTTCAGGCTAGCCTTGAATTCACTTTGTAGCCCAGGCTGGCCTCAAACTAATAATTCATGTTTATAATTTTTTTCAATATGTCTGCCTCTTTGACCTGCAGCCACTGCTTCTCCTCATTAGTACTGCATAAATGAGTGACTAGAATGGCATTTATAATCATCTGACCAGCAAGTTAAATGCAGATTCCTAGGCTTCATTCTAAAATAATTAAGTCCAGGTCCTTGGTTACGCTGGGAAGGTGTTTCCATAGGCTGCTCTTGGACCCTTCCACCGGTGCAAGGGGGTGTCCTCGTGACTAGAGCCGTGGGCTAGGACTTGTGAGGTGGAGCCTGACCACATGCACCCAGAGCACTGCTGCCCAGTGTTATCTCTGCCATGCTGCTTGGTCTCCATATCTCGTCTTCATGCTTCAGATCAGCGGTTCTCACTTTTTGGAAGTTAATGGAACTTTTCTGAGGCTGTCACTGCTTCAAGAAAGCTTTCATTTAAAAATACACAGGATAGTAGATTAGAATATCGGTTATACCCATCATCCAGTTGACACTTAGCTAATGGTGGCACTTGTTTAGTCTGTGTTTTTACACTTTCCTTTGTAATTATTTTGACACAAATCTCGATACGCTTGTCTGAATTTTTTTGGTAGGTACAAGAAACTTCAAAGAATGTTACTTAAAAAAAATACCATTTAAAAAAATTGGTAATGTGGGGCTGGGGATTTAGCTCAGCGGCAAAAGCGCCTGCCTGGCAAGCGCAAGGTCATGAGTTCGGTTCCTGGTACCGGAGGGGGGGGAAAAAAAATTGGTAATGTATTTATATAGGTGATAATATTGGGTAACCCTGGCCTTACGAGCTCTCAAGTTCTTTTTTTTTTTTTTTAAATCTTTTTTTGAGACAGGGTCTCGCTATGCAGTTCAGGCTGGCCTTGAGCTCACTTTGTAACCCAGGCTGGTCCCGAACTCGCAGCGATCCTCCTGCCTCAGCCTCCTGAGTGCTGGGATTACAGGCGTGGGCCACCACGCCCGGCTAAACTGTCAAGTTCTTTACAGGGTTCATGTGATACCTGCTTGAAGAGTCAGATAGTCCCTCCGCATTGTTTTCCACAGCTGTTCCTCTCCCACATAGCTGAGGGAGAGAGTACGCCCTCTGGAGCAAGGAAGCTATCCTTATCTCCAGAGGAGCTTTGTAGTTTGGAAAAAATCTTTTATTTCATTCCAGATTTGATCCTTCAGGAGAATGTTCTTCCCTGAATATAAATTCTCTTCTACAAAGTCAGGTTTTTCTGTACTGTGCTCTTAATGTGGAGCCATCTCTGTGGTTCAGATATTGATTACTGGGCAGATAAGTAGCAAAATAAGGCCTTATGGAACCTTACATTGGCCCTTGCCAATGCTTTCAATTACTTGATGCACTTTCCCTCCGGTCTCTCCAAATCTCATTGTCGCTGCTTTGCCTCCTAATGTGGTGGCCCATACTGGAGCCTGGTAACTGGGCAGGCCCAGCACCTTTGTGCTGTTCTGCGGGGGCTGGCTTGACTTTTGGTAGCTGGGGATATTTAGAGCAGGAGGAGGAACTGTGCTGTGGGCTCAGCACTGCACATCTAACTCTGCTCTTGCTGGTTGTGCTCACTGTAGGTGCATCATTTAAGATTAACTTTCTTAGCTTTGCAAACAAAGTATAGAGAGCTTTTATCTAAACTTTGAAAGACTTCAGTTGAAACTTTCATACAGCTGCCATTAATAGAATACCAGCCTATTGAAAATAGGCTTTTTTTCTTTTTTTTTAAAGACAGAGTCTGCTTTGTAGTTCAGCCATACCTTGAACTCACTTTGTAGTCCAGGGTGACCTCAACTCAGCAATTCTCCTGTCTCAGCTTCCCGAGTGCTGTGTTACAGGAATGTACCACCACACTTGTCTGAAAATAGGCGTTTTTAACTCACGGAACTCATGTCATGTTTGTTATGGACCGTACTGACTTGTCTCCCTTTCTTCCTGTACTGCTGTCATCTTGCACACACATTGATGAGTTAAGCAAATTAGAGGTAAATTCGAGGGATCTCACTGTCCCCTTCCGGCTGTGCTCTCATGTGTTAATAGCTGGGGGCACATCTTTCCACACTTCCCATGAATTAATCCTGCCCCTTTTATTATTTTGAACAGTATTTCCCCCCCAGTGACTATTTCATGGACTTTCCTCCCTCCAGGTAATCCTAGTAGTATAGTACAGTAGCTGCACAGTGTGCCATTATATGGCTGGCTGTTTATATTTCATTCAAGCACGCACCTGTTATTGGACATTCAGGGTGTTCTTGTGTGCTTGTGCACATGCATGTGTAACACTACATGTGATGCTGTCATAAATCTTCTCCAAATACCTCTCAGCCTGATGTGTTTATTCCTGTGCTCCCACTAACTGGTGCTGTGGCCTGTGTGAGTCCTGAAGGTGGCCTTTGGTTGTAGGTCAACGTGCGGAATGGGATGAGCTTGCACGACTGCCTTATGAAAGCACTCAAGGTGAGGGGCCTGCAACCAGAGTGCTGTGCAGTGTTCAGACTTCTCCACGAACACAAAGGGTAAGAGCTCATTATTCAGGATGAGGATTCCATTCAAATAATTTTGCTAGCTTCCTACAGAACAGTGATGGCGAACCTTTTGGAGACCAAGTGACAAACTGCAACCCCAAACCCACTTCTTTATCACAGAGTGCCAACACTCCACAGTAGTCAGCTAAAGCCTGAATACTGTGGTTTTAGCCCAGAAAAAACCAGCTTTACATTAACATCTTTTGTCTTAACATGTGTGCCATAGCTTCGCCATTACTGCCATAGAATATCGTATATTCATATATCTTTGTAAAGAGACAATTCAGAAAAATATGGTATTAAGAACTTGCAGTTATCCTGTTCCTTGGAAATTCCCTTGAAAAATAAAATACATGGTGGATGTTGATGATATTTCTATGGATGGAAACAGGAATGTTAGAATGTAGGTTTCTCAACAATAAAGATTGTTTTTTGTGTTAGTTGTAAGGCATTACATGGAGTGGGTAATTGCTATTTATAGGTAAAGAAAGCTACCCCCAGGCGATCAGCTCCTGCCATTTACTCCCTTTTTTGGTGGGGCTACTGGAGATTGAACCCAGGGCCTTATGCATGCTAGGCACATGGTTTACCTCTGAGCACCATCTCTAGCCCCTCTCACTTGTTTTTATTCACTTTCATGTGTATTGAATCCTTCCTGTTTGACAGCATGGAGCTAAAAGATGGATGCAGGAGAATTTCTGCTTTGGGGAAGACTTGGCTGATTCCTGATGGTAGTTGCAGGATAGCAGCTCAGGGTTAGGAGTAATCCCCCATAGCAGGAGAGCTGTCCATAATTATCTAGTATGCTTCTCCCAATACAGGAAGACCTTTACAGAAGGTTATTTCAACTTTGCCTTCCTGTGGAGTGCAGCACCACTGTTGCCTCCTCTTCAGCTCTGTCTTTATGGTTTGGGGAGCCCGGTCTAAGAGAATAGCCTGGGGCATGAGTCTGCTCAGAGGGTGAGTTTAACTATGTCCATGCCTCTCCAGCCAGCCCACAGTGCTCCTTAAGAACCAGAGAGGCTCCGAGACAGTGAGGGCTTATTTGCTCTTCTCCAGAGTTACAGTGATTTGGAAGTACCCTACATTCTGTCTAGGACAGATAATTCCGAGAGCCTGATGAGGAAGTGGGGTCTCTCCTCCCTCTCTTCATAACGATAGGGCAGGACAGGACAGGACAGGACATGAAGTGTCCCATACTTTGTGCGAGGAATTACATTAAGGGGTGGGGTACTTACTGGGGGTAACAGGAAAAACCACCAGGATAGGTTGTCTGGTAGGTGACAGGAGAGGTGTGGAAGTGCTAGATCTGCGTTATTCTCTCCTTAACGGAGTGCATCCTGTCTTCAGGAAGTGGCTGGGCAGGAGAAAAGACAGGAGAAGGGAGCTGGGCATTCATTTGTACTTAAAGGGAGACATTTTTCTGTCTTTCTTACTCTTGAGTTCCCCAAGAGTGGTCTCAGTAAAAAATTTCTTTTTTGTCTCAGGAAATTTTAAGACAGTTAAGTCTCCCTTGTTTTTATAGACTCTGCAGACAATTACAGATCTGAGTTTGCTATTAATGGTGAAGTACAGTTGTGGTTCTTATCTATTTTTGGCACTGTAGTAATATTTATAACCCCTTTCACAGGGTTTGAGGTTTTTTATAGGGTTTTAATGTCACAAAGTCTTTAATATGTATGTACTGTACCATTAAATTGTTACTTTTTATGTTTAAAGAAAACTTTATTCTAAGAGCACAAGCTTTAGAGTCTAACAAACATAGATTTCAATGTAAGCCCTTTTTTTTATCTCCTTAGAGCCCCAGATTTTTCATTTGTGAGATGGGGTAATAATATCTACTTTAAAGGTTTGCTGTAGGAATTACATATGTGAATGCTGTTTGGACATAAATTGTGTTTAGATAATACACAGTAAAAGGTAGCTACGTTATTCATGTTCGACTGTCAATTTGTTCCAGCATTGCTCTTTTATGTTATGCTTTTTTAAATCCTCTGTAGTAAAAAAGCACGTTTAGATTGGAATACTGATGCTGCCTCTTTGATTGGAGAAGAACTTCAAGTAGATTTCCTGGATCATGTTCCCCTCACAACACACAACTTTGTAAGTTGCAGATCTCTTCTTGTTTCATGGTGTGTTAAGGGCCTTGCTTTGTGTGATGGGAACTTCTGAGAGGTGAGGTAATAAGGATGTAGATTGTTGGATTATTTAAAGCCGTAGTTGTGCTGTTTATATTCCATTAGTCAAAAGTATACTTAATGTTTGGTTATGAATTGTATAGACTTGGGAAGCATGACTCTTCATTTGTGTGAACACTTGGAGACCCCAGAGAAATTTAACTATTCTGGATCATCTTTCCTTAGCACAGCTTAACCCTGTGTTCTTGTTACAGGCTCGGAAGACGTTCCTGAAGCTTGCCTTCTGTGACATCTGTCAGAAGTTCCTGCTAAACGGGTTTCGATGTCAGACTTGTGGCTACAAATTTCATGAGCACTGTAGCACCAAAGTCCCTACCATGTGTGTGGACTGGAGTAACATCAGACAGCTCTTGTAAGACATCCCCAAATGGAGGGATGGGGTGTGTAGATGCCTTTGTGACCTGGAAACCACCTTCATAAGCAGCATGATAGTTTTGAAAGTAACTAGTTTAGTGTGGTACTCTAAGCCATCATCTGTCCAGTTGATGTTGGCACACTGTGATGCAAAGAGGCGTAAAAGCTAAAAGGTTTTTCACCTTTTCTAATGCTAGTGACAGCTGCCAGGCAGACAGTAGACTCTGTTCTTCATTTTGTTGAATATGCTGAACGGGCCTTATGATATTCAGAAAGAGTAGAAAGCATGTTTGGGCTAGGCATGGTGGAACATACCTGTAATCCCAGCATTCTAGGAGGCTGAGGCAGGAGAGTGACTTGCTGGAGCATCGCCTAGACAACTGAATGACTTAGTAAGGCCTGTTTCAAAATAATTTTTGAGGAGCTGGGGATTTAGCTCTGCGGCACAGAGCCTGCCTGGAAAGCGCAAGGTCATGAGTTCGGTTCCCGGTACCGGAAAAAAACAAAAACCAAAAAAAACAAAAACAAAAGAATTTTTGAAAGGGTAAAGGGTGTAGTTCAGTGGGATGGTGTACTTGATTTTTCAGTCCCTAGTGCACACATGTATGCTTGCACAGAAGCGCACACCATAGTGCTGTTTTCTTCATCTCAAACTGGAGATGATGTCATTTGGGCTTGAATGTGTTTGAATGTAAAGTTTTGGAAGACCCATACTTTTATCAGAGGCCATACCAGGTACCAAACTGTATCTTATACAGACAAAATAGTTAATTTTATTAAATAAATAATCACACTAATTTAGTTACAGTACATGTTTCAAAATGCCTTTTAAAAACTTACTGTGAAGTGTTGAAGTTTCATCTTTTGCCGAGAGTACCACAGACACCAGGGGAGCATTGCCTTAGTCCACACCAGGAACGCCCTTTTCACTTGCGTGGCAGTTGGTGTTGGCTGAGTGTGAGTAGCACAGAGGGCACAAGCTTGGAGTCCAGGCTCACATTGCCACGCCAGTTTTGTCCTTACCTGTGCCATGCCCAGGTGTCCTTACCTGTGACATACTGGAGCCTTAGTTCACACGCCTGAGAACTGGGTGGGCGGCCCTCTTCCTCTAGGTGGCCGGAGCGGTGGGGGAGACGTGCGTGGGGAAAGCGCGGCTCATAGCTGGCAGCGGGCAGGGAGCTGGGCCTTCCTGAGGTTCCTCCGTGTCTGTAATCCAGTCTTTCCCTGATTTCTCTTAGGTTGTTTCCAAATTCCACTATTGGTGAAAGTGGGGTCCCAGCACTACCTTCTCTGACCATGCGTCGGATGCGAGAGTCTGTTTCCCGGATGCCTGTTAGGTAACTTGTGACCCGGAGCCTTTCTTGTGGAAAGCCGTGTTGGGCAGGGGTCTGGGGTCGGAAGCCCGAATGCGGAAGGCAAGGGCTGCTTGCGTTCCCTCCTCTGTCGGGTGCTGCTGCTTGTGCATCGCAGCCAGATGTGAAAGTGTCTCTTCGTGGCCCTGTAGTTCTTATATTCTGGAAAGTGACTTGAACTTGCATCCCTTCTGTTACCACAATATATTTAACAAATTACACTTTGAGTTCACATTTTGCTCGGTGTTACACGAGTTTAGAACCTACAATGATGTCTACATCTTTGTCAGAAGTACCTGTCTTTAATGTGTATGTCATTAGGTAACATTTAATAGCTATTGTGAAACTACTGGAGAAATTAAAGACAGCATTATCTTAGAATAAGGAATTTGCCAGGCATGGTGGTGCATGCCTGTAATCCCAGCGCTTGGGAGGCTGAGGCAGTGAGCTTGAGTTTGAGGCTAGCCTGAACTACATAGTGAGACCCTGTCTCAAAACAGACAAAAACCCACAAGGAATTTGTATTGAAATGATACATACTTGTGTATGACTTTAATTTTTTGATAATTTGAAAAGCACATTATACCAGAATATTGTGCTTGCCTCTGAAGATTAGAGGAAACTAGGTTTCTGAAGGCATACATATAGGATTAGTTGGAAAGGTGACTTTTTGTTTTGTTGTTTTTTTTTTTTTTTTTTTTTTTGGTTTTTCTCCGGTACCGGGAACCGAACTCACGACCTTGCACTTGCCAGGCAGGCGCTTTTGCCGCTGAGCTAAATCCCCAGCCCCGGAAAGGTGACTTTTTAAGGTGGTAGAACCGTTTTCCTTATAAAAACTAGCTTCTTATCATTCTTTACAGCAGGTAATGGAAATGTCCTACTTGCTTTGTGCTGGGGCTGAAGGCCAGAGCTTCATGCATGTAGGCAGGTGCCTCCCATTGAGCTTCACCCCAGCTGCACTGTTGTGTCTTGCTTGGCAGTGCTGGGGGTTGAACCCTGGCAAGCAAACATCACCAATGAACTATGTCCCAGCCCTAGACATTCTGCCTTTATGTGTGTTCCCAGATTGGCTGGTAGAGGGGTGGTCTTCACATTGGCTGAAAGACGCTAGTGATTTATTCACAGCTAGATATTTTGGATCTAGGGCTGAGTTGACAGTAATTCCCTTTGTGTGCTGGTTTAGGGAAGAGCATGTATCGTAGGTAAATGCAGGCTTTTTTTGTAGAGGCATTCATCAGGTCTAACCATCTACTCCAGAACTTCTTTACCACTGTCTGATTTGGTCTCTAAATGAAACTGGGCAGGTTTCAGCTAGGTTAGCAGGTGGTATTTTCCAGACTTTAATCTATTCTTTCAAGAATATGCTGTAAAAATTCCATGTATTGTGTAGAGCTCATTTATTGGAAAGAAAATGTGTATTATTTTCATATGAACTACAAGCTCATACATTAGTATATAGTAGTATGTTCATCTTCAAAAATTTGTATGTAGTAGGGTCATGTAGCTTAGTGGTAAAGTGCTTGCCTGGTGTGCATAAGGCCCTGAGTTCAATCCCTAGCACTGCAAAAACAACAGTTTATATGCAGAAGCACTGATACGGAAGAGAAGTTTTTTAAACGATGGATTGAAAGAATGAGACATTTTATAGCTAAGGTTTGTCCCCATGTATTTTTGTGAAGTGCAGGCAGCTGACAGACTGTGCCAGTGGGTTGGCTCAAGTGCCAGTCATGGGATCTTCTTTTTTCCCCTTGCCCAGTTCCCAGCACAGGTATTCCACACCCCACGCCTTCACCTTCAACTCCTCCAGCCCCTCCTCCGAAGGTTCCCTCTCCCAGAGACAGAGGTCGACGTCCACACCTAACGTCCACATGGTCAGCACAACGCTGCCTGTGGACAGCAGGATGATTGAGGTAAGGGGCCCCGGCGTGGCAGTCGTGTCAGTCAGTTCATAGCTGGGGCTGATGGTTGGGCCAGGTTTTGGGTCTTAAATCTGATCAGGAATATTGCAGCATTTTCTCAGGCCCCTTGACTTAAAATATTTTTATTTTTGTTCAGAATATCTGTAGACTGGCAGAGTAATGGAGTTAGTATATTATTCAAGTACAGAACTAAAACTTCCTGAAGAAGTATTCACAGTTTAACTTATTCTTGCATGTCAGATTGGAATAGCTTTTCACTGAGGCACTTCGTAAGAGTCATAGAGAATAGTTTTATTCGGGTGTGGGGAGGAAAGCAGTGATGGTACAAATTCTGCAGACTTTTAAATGACCTCATTTAGAAATGAGAGTGGACCTTGGAGTTAAGTAAGCAGATATAGAAGTGCCCAAAGCTAGAGTTTTCAAACTGACTTTCTCTTTTTTTGGCTTTTTGGTATGTTCTGTTTGTTTTCTACTTCATCTTTAACAGTAACTGAATATATTTAAACTACTTCCTTTGTTCTTTATTCTTCTTTATTTCTCATTGCTTTGGACTAGAATAACAGCCTGAATACTTCTCCCAGGGCGTGGTCCAGAGGATTTTGTGTAAGGGGAAGAGTAGGTATTTCTTCTTCATGCCTTTGTTTCCTTGTTATTAACAGGATTGCTAAGACTGTCATGACTTAATTTTCACTCAAATGTCAGCATTCTGTCTCTGCACTAAAGCCCAGGAGTGTGATCAGTGTATCCGTTCTGCACCATGAATTATTCCTTAGAAACACTCAGGGACCTCTGCCACCTTGGGCGACAGTAATCCAGCTCGGCCTTCAATCGCAGTGTCACATTTGTCCTACACAGGGCCCTGGATAAGCTGTGAACTTGATTACTGGTCTGTCGCTGTGATCCCAGTAATAATACAGTAATAAACTGGCTGTTTTCCTTCTGTTATATGATTTGCTTCTACATAAGCACTATTAATACTTGGAGCATTAAAAGTGAATATCTTAATTATATAGTAACTGTCGTGCTTATTATTTTTAAAAATCACATATGGTTTAACCCTTTTCTTTGGGTAGTACTGGGATTTGAACTCAGTGGTGCTCTAACACTGAGCTACGTACACCTCAGTGCTTTTTATATTTCTAGATGGGATCTTGCTAAGTTGCCAGGCTGGCCTTAAAATTGCAGTCCTCCTGCCTCAGCCTCCTGAGTAGCTGGGATTTCAGGTCTGTGCCACTACACCCAGAATGATTTAGCATTTTTAACTTGACATTATTGCTTTTTTCCAAAGCATTTATAATTTTCCTAAGCTAATAGATTCCAGAACCGTAGAAAAAATTCCTTCTAGGATAAACCTATCCAAATATAGTTCCAGTGTGGTAAAGTATGAGCTACTTAATGAACACAGGGAAGAAAATTACTGTGACATGGAGGGAGAAAATCTTTGTATACTTGGAGATACAATTCTGATTAATAAAAATGTTTTTCTATACTGACTAAAAGAACAGACTAGTTGGCTAATAAAGCTATCACTGGTAAATATTCTATTGAAATCCAGGTTATTGCTAGCAGTTACCCTACCATACCTAAAATCCTAGAGATTCCTACACTTCTCACCTTCCCTTGCAGGCGAGGTGGGTGCTGAGCTGGCCAGGACTGGGAAGCAGAATTAGGCTTCACTATTAAGCACTGAGGATGCTAGGCAGGCAGGGAGGAGGACAGGTGGTTCATGGTAGTTTTCTCTTGTGAAGATGTGGCCTAGGTCATTCTAGCTCCAATTGTGTGAGTCAAGCATTTCTTCTACACTAGTGTTACACAAAGCAAACTGCACAGGACTTCCCAGAAGGATGCCCTTTTTGAGGGTAAGAGTGCATGGGATTTCATATTATTTGATTGTAAATTCTATTCCAAGGAAGATATCAGGATCTAGGTTTAAACTGTTCTCTGAACAGTTTCTAGTGAGTTTCCACGGTGGCCTAATGTCACACACTGCAGCACGCAGTGGCCACGGTGCCACGGACTGAGGCCCATCCAGTGCATGATACTATCTGGTTGTTTCTGGGGCCCTGCTCACAGCTCCTGGCCTGCTCACCTGTTTTCTCATATGTAAATAGAAGTTCTGGACCAGAGGACTCATGATCTGTCACACTTTCTGTGCTTCTAATCATGAGTGAAGCGTCAGTCATGGTGTGCATCCTGGTCGACTCCAACTTCCAGTTGGGTTTCCGTTAACTCTCAGTGCAGGAAGAGGGAGCTTGGCATGAACGCCACTGCCTCCCTCCTGAGACTTGGAGCCTGGGAAGGGGCTCACTGACCGTGATATGCCAGCCTTTCTAGGGAGGGTGCCTTTTGTGTGTGTTGTTTCTTCTGTGAAAAAGAATGCAGTTTCTATTGGATATGAAAGATTAACGTTAAGCCTCCTAATGGTTAAAAACCAGTCTTGGAGAAATTGGCCTCCAGCATTTGGTGAAGTTAATCAGCAGACCTGATTAGTGTATGGGATTAGACTTTCTGTGTGCTGGAGTTTTTATAGTCCACGTGACTGCTGCACATCCGCACTACTTTCCTTCTAGCCCAGAGCTTGACCAGTTTTCCTTTTCTCTTTCAGGATGCAATTCGAAGTCACAGCGAATCAGGTACTTTTCCATAGTCATTTAGCAAACAGTAATGGACTTTTCTCTCTATGCTGTGTATCTCCTGTGGGCTTATGCACATGTGGACTCTGTTTGTCTTGTCCATTAAGCCTCCCCGTCAGCCCTGTCCAGCAGCCCCAACAACCTGAGCCCAACAGGCTGGTCACAGCCCAAAGCCCCTGTGCCGGCACAGAGAGAGCGTGCTCCAGGACCTGGCACCCAGGAGAAGAACAAAATTGTGAGTGTGGCCCACAGGCCCTCCTGCCATTCACACTTTTGTTGAAGCTAGAATGTTCTTAGCATTCTGGGACGGGACTCTAGTAAAATATACTTAATGAACAAGGTTATAAAGCTTAGTACCATTTTTGGCATGCTTGCTTAAGAAACTTGCCAGTGTGCTCCGCACTAAAATGGCATTTTCTGGGAGACAAAAATGAGAGGTATGGTGTTTTGTCTTTAAAGATGTGGGATGAGTGGGGTTGGATTGACCTTTGGCTTGATGCCGTGGCTGTCAATAGACCGTTGTCTCCCCTGGAGCTTAACAGTCTTCCCATATTCCAGAGGCCTCGTGGACAGAGAGATTCAAGTTATTACTGGGAAATAGAAGCCAGTGAAGTGATGCTGTCCACCCGCATCGGGTCAGGCTCCTTTGGAACTGTCTATAAGGGCAAGTGGCATGGTAAGTGTAGGCCTCCTTGGGCTGCAGGCTTGGGACAGACAGGTGCAGGCCAGAGAGGCCTTGCGGCAGCCCTCTTCTGTGAGGACCATGCTGTCTCTGAGGATGAACCTTGATGGTATCTGTGTGAAACGCTACAGCATTCTTTGTAGGCTCAGGGTGCTTCAGTTGGGATGATAAAGTTCTTGGGACAGTTAGAAACTGGTGAACAAGAATTGGATTCTAGTCGCATGTTGGAAACTAAATTCACTGTGCTCATGGGACCTTCTGCAGGTGGTGGGAGCATGAATTCTAGAAACTCAGAACTGGAAGGGACCTTGCTGAGCATGGTGTGCAGGCAAACAGGTCTGGAGAGTGGGCTCAGTTTTTATTTTGGATGCCATGATGGCTGTCTTTATAGGTAAATGGGCAAAGTGGAGGGAAGTTTAACAGCATTACAGGAAAGGAGCACTGAAATTGATGATGCAGAAAACAGAAACCTCTGTGTCTTGAGTGGAGAGGGCTTGTGGCCATTGCAGCCAATCATCTGAGAAATCTTGGTCCTAAACAGCACAGGATTGAATGTTTGTAATCTTCTTATGCTTCCTTTTCTTTTCAAACATTTGTCTAAGATACTGCTGCCCGGAGCAGTGACACAGCTGCAGAGTATTTGAGACACCCCACACATGCAGGAAGGGCGCAGGTCTGTGGCCGAGCTCATAGCTGTGTCACAAGTTGCTAGGAGCTGGAGGCAGGGAGCATGGGCTTTGTGTCTGGTGTTTCCGTTAGGAGCAGGTGGTCTTTTTCATCCTGGAGTTCAAAGGCCTTACTTCACAGCTAACAGATGCAGTTCAGATTATGTTCAATTTTAATTTTCCTTTGGTCAAGCACTTCGCCCATTATTATAATAAGGGCAGGCAACCCTCTGGGCAGAGCAGGAGAAAAGGTGTGTAAAAGTCAAAACTGGACACCTATCATCATAGCTGCTGAGGCAAGAATATTGTGGGTTCAAGTGCAGCCTAGGCAACTTAGGCTGTGTCTCAAAATAGGTAGGTAGGTGCATGGGCCTGGAGATCCTGCCCAGTCGTGAGCATTTGCCTATCATGTACAAAGTCTTGGGTTCAACCTCCAGTACTGGTTTTTTAAAAAAAGGGTAAAAAATGTAAATGTATGGCACGGGACCAGCTGTTCCTTCTATACTGGTGGATAAATGAGGTATATAAAGATCTGATTTAAAAGTGTGATTACTAGGAAGGTATCTTAACCTGTTTTCACAGTGTTCCTCCACTAGAGGGGGCTTCAGTCCGGATGAGTTTTTCTCAGGTTGGAAATGCAGATCATGTAGCACCTGCTCCCTACCCCTTGCTCACCTTGCTCACCCTGGGGTGCAGGGCTGCAGAGGGCATCTGGCAGCTTCTTTTTGTGAATCACAAGAGGATTGCACGGGTAGCATGAGCCCAGGGAAACATCTAGCTTCAGAATTTTGTGAAGGTTCCTATAGGATCTCTTGGCTTTCACACTTGTATAAGGTAGAAAAAGTAGAAAAAGCTCAAATCAGACCATCTGTAGCACATTTGCCGCTGACTTGGCTCTGAAGAGAAGATGGGGATGTCTGACTTGCTGATTCCCTGTGAGCTCCCTCCCTCCATAAATATCTCCGTTCTCACACCTTACACAGTGCTTTCTGGGGTTCGTGAGTGCATGCCTTCCAGTGGTGAGGCATGCCAACGGCGGGGGGCTGGCATGATTCTAGAAGAAAAGTGTGTTGCCATGCAGTCTGTCTTGCCTGAGAGTATATTTAGAAGGCCAGAGGAATGAGCCATCAGCAGGTACCTGGGAGTGGGTGTGGAAAGACCCGGGAGCCCAGCAGGTGGAGGCCACCTTTACTTTCAACCTCAGACTCCCAAGGTCTGTGCCTGAGAAACTGTGCCGGTGTTCCCCACGAAGCTCCTGCAGATAGCCACTCACAACTCGCCTTCCATCTGTGGTTTCATCTCGAAATACGTTCACTTTTTAAAATTTATTTTTAATTCATAAAACTATTGTACATATTAATGTCATACTATGTAGTGTTTTGATGTATGCATAGAGTGCGTGATGTTTGAAGTTGGATTCAAAGATATCTGTCTCCTCCAGTGTTTGTAGAAAGCCGTTCTCTCTGTGAGTTGAAACCCTTTCTCTGTAAGGGTTGTTTATCCATCCCAGCAGGCTGTATGGGTGTCACTTAAACATAAGCCAGGCAACAGCTGTCCTGCAGAATTACAGCTCTGGGGTTTTAGTAAGAAACTGCACAGTCTGTCCCCCTGTTCAAAGTTGAGCACACCCCCCTGTGTTCCATGCGAAAGCTGTGTGCTTGTGGGACCCAAGCCACCAGCCGTGTCCCTGGCCCTGCCCCTTGCTTGGCTGTGGTGCAGACAGGTTTCCCTTCAGGGTTCCTGCGTTTGTCCTATCCTGCCATTTCCACTGTCAGCCCCTGGGCCTGCCTCTAATCTGGGCTGCTGCAAGACGCTTGCTGCCCCGTCCTATGCCAGTCCCAGGCCAGGTCCCCCCCAGGGGGTCTCCTGTCCTCTTCCTGCTGCGTCCTCTTCCACTGAACCAGCTTTGCCTTGCACCCCATCTCCCAGAAGCCCTTTTGCATCCTCCCACAGGGGCCCCCTGCCTTGCGTCTGTCAGAGGGCGAGGCCCTGCATCCCCAGCCAGACCCACTTTCCTAGACAGAGGTGACTGAGCACAGTGGGTGACCCCTGGGCTGAGGCATACAGGTGTTTGGTGAGAGTCTTTCGGAGGCTGCTTTGGAGCAAGGATGTGTCGTGACTTGGGTGCATCCCTTCTGTGTCCCACTTGGGCCATGCTGTGTAGGGGATATAACTTACTTGTACAGTATAGTGTACTGTTATTTTAAAAGATTTATCATGACATTTAGAACCAGGAGGACAGGTGGGCCTGTGGGCCACAGGCTGGCAGTGCCATCTCTCCACCGTGGGTGTGCCTGTGTGTCCCAAGTAGCACTCCTGCCCTCCAGCCCTGTGTTCACTGCTGCTGGCCTCCTGGGAAGGCCTGGACTTTGTAAATCGCTTGTCACAAGTGTCCCTGTAGGGTCCTGATGGAGAGTCATGTCATGGTAACCACCACTGTAACTGCGTTGGTAACAGATCTGGAACATGAAGGAGGGCCAAGCAGGGTGGTTCTGAGTCACATCGGCACCTGGTAGCTAGTCGCAGGTGGCTGTGTCACAGGTGTGCGCTGTGGGTCTGAGGGGCTCAGGGTTCAGCATAGCCAGCTGCATGGCCAAGGGCAAGTGTCTCTCCACAGGCAGAACCAGTGGCATTCATGCTGCAGTACAGCCAGGAGGAGGGGAGAGTGCACAGGGGCGGGCTCAGTAGCTGTTTATCCTGAGGGTGCTTTTGGTAGAGTGGAAGGCGGGGCAGCTTACTTCAGTATATGTCTTTGATTTGTTTCTGCTTGGCTTGCTGGGCTGTCTAGGACCATGCATTGGCCTTACCCCCTCAGGCCACAGGAGTGACTGCCACACGCATTTGGAAATTTGTAGGTCTGTTTCATTTTTATAAAGGGTGGACTCTGAAGAAGTGATGCCCTGTGTCTTCCTCAACACCAGGTTACCTGGAAACACCCCTCAGCCCATTGGGCCAAGCGTGCTGACTGTGGTCTTGTTCGCAGGAGATGTGGCGGTAAAGATCCTGAAGGTGGTGGACCCAACCCCAGAGCAGTTCCAGGCCTTCAGGAACGAGGTGGCGGTGCTGCGGTGAGTCCTGCCTCTTGAGGTGGCCACATGCTGTCCCCAAGGCAGGGAAGGTTTTCCACATCAGAAGTGGACATGCTCTTGTCACATGGACCCCTGTCTAGGCATGCTGCACTCCATGCCCAGCTCTATGTCTGGGTTTTACTTTGACATTGGGAGAAGTAGGTCTCATTTTTACCTTTATCTCCCAGAATGTTTTATAGCCTTTACTTTACTCTGGGTTTTAAAACTTGAGCATCATACCCTAAGTCACAGTTCTGCCCTGCACGAGTGGGTTGGTCCCGGTGGAGGAGTCCATAGGGGATGGGTCCTGTGGTTCGTGGAGAGCCATGTCTCTGGTCAGAACAAGGACAAGGCGGGCACTGAGGATGGTGACACTATGGCTGAGAGCTTGAGCTGGGGTGTGGGCTGCTGCCAGTGGTGGCGAGGACACAAGGGTCCAGGCTGTGGGACAGTGGAGACTTCCTGAGCATCCTTTCTTCTCTTTCCTAGCAAAACGCGGCATGTGAACATCCTGCTCTTTATGGGGTACATGACGAAGGACAACCTGGCGATTGTGACCCAGTGGTGTGAGGGTAGCAGCCTTTACAAACACCTGCATGTCCAGGAGACCAAGTTCCAGATGTTCCAGCTGATTGACATCGCTCGACAGACAGCGCAGGGCATGGAGTGAGTGTGAATGGCTGAGCACTGAACCGGCCTTAAGTGGGAGCCGGGACTGGAAGAGCCTTTCGGTCCTGAATGATGCCAAATGGCCTACACGTTGGCCAGCAAGGAGACTGTGGGCAAGGGACAGGCACTGGGACCTGTTCCAGGTCCTCCCTGGCCAGGCTGCACTTGGGAATCATCCAGAAGCCCCCGAACACCCTCGCAGGGTCCCTGCTCAGTTACCTGCGGGCGGGTAAGGCCTGCAGGCATCCTCAGCACCTTGGTTCCGCACTGCCCTCTGGCCTGTGCCTGGCAGGGTCCCCTCTGGCCCAGCTGCCCATGGCTCAGGGGTGCCTGCCTTCCTGGATCTCTCAGAATTCCTGTGGCAGGTGCATTCACAGGGTAGTACATTTTAAGCGATAGACTAATACTTTTTTAGAAAATTTATTGATGTAATTCACATACCATAAAGCTTGCCATCCTCCACATGTGTACAGTGTGTATCACTGCTCTCACGTCAGCCAGAAAGACACCTCTGCATTCTGTGTCACCCTGTCCCTCCCCACCCCAGCCCCTGGGCCTCTCCTTCCTGTCTCTGGTTTTGTACATCCCTATCAACAGAATCCTAGGAGATACAAAACACCTGGTCCTCTGCCCCTGCCTTCTCTTCCTTGGCTTTGCGTTTGGGGGCCAAGTCCAGGTAGCTGCATGTGTCTGAACTTCTTTTCCTGGCCACTAAATAGGGGCCGGCTGCACCATCCTGTCCCATCAGCCAGTAGATACTGGGTTGGAGTGAAACTGACGCTTAAAGCATCAGCACATTTGTCTGTGGGCTCCTTTGGAGGTGATGCGGACCATAGCCAGGCCCATAGGTGGCTTCATTCCTTAGCTATGATTTGAAACTGCCTCCGTCCGGCTGTTTTTAATAGATTTATTTCCCTTCACAGCTACTTGCACGCGAAGAACATCATCCACCGGGACATGAAATCCAACAGTATCCTTCGCTGTTTGCGTCACTGGATGTCTCAGCTCAGACTTAGCAAACCACGAGGACTCAGTGCCGGGGTCAGCTTTTTAGGGAAAGAGGCAAAAAATAGGAAGAAGCAAGTGAAAAGGTTGGTGCGTAGGGCCGGGGATATAGCTCAGTGACACAGCACCTGCCTGGCAAGCACAAGGTCCTGATTTCAATTCCCAGTACCAGAAAAGGATGGTCATTAGAGCAGCAGACCTCTGGGTGACTCAGGCTGCCTCCGCCTCTGGCAGTGTGAGGGGCATTGTCCAGGAAACGTGACTTTCTTATCTAGGTTTTTTTCCTGCAACAATGATTTGAAGTGTTGGGACTTGAAACAGACCTGTGTTTATTATGTAGTCTTTGTATTTCTAGTTTGTGACATTGTGTTTGTGTATCTGGTGAGAAAGCAGCCGTATGCTACTCTAGCAAGATTTCCAAAATTACTACTGAATGTTGTCCTTGAAGGTTCCGAAGTAGTTTCCTTAGAGGCCACAGTGGTTTCCAAAGCATTCCTGAGTCTTAACATGTTCCAGGATGGCTGAGGCGTTTTTTCACACTTAAGTGGCATGGCGTGTAATGCCCGTCCCTCTGCAAGGAGTGCGCTGCTGGGCAGGGGGCAAGGAAGGTGTGTGGAGAAGGATCAGGAGGTGGCCTGTGTGGCTGTTTTGTATACTTGTCTCAGGCAAGGAACACCTTTCAGTGGTGGGTTTTTAGGCAGCAAAATACTACGCCATGACATCAGACACCACCGATTTAAGTAGGCATGAACTCCTGGGCCAGGTCAGTCAGATGTGTACTGCCAGCCTTCTTTACCTTGGAGGTGGTTAGTTGCCTTGAGGTCACCAAGTGGGAAACTTGTGAATGCCCGCCGTTAGCACTCAGGCAGGAATTCTGTCTCTGCTGGCCCATGAGTGCCAAGTGTGGGCAGCCGCCAGGGCGCGCGCGCTTGGCTCCCCTATCACGGGAAGGTTCACGAGGCAAGGGCCCCCCATCGGGATATGGCAGTGGGGCAGCTTCCAGCCGCCTCTTGGAAGAAGGGATGTTGAAAGTACTTTTCAAAGCTTCCCAAGCCTAGCAGATGCGGGGCAGAGAAGGCTGGCCGAGGGTGAGGTAGAGGTCATTGTGAAAAGCACCTTTGGGAAGTTTTTCAAATTAGGTCGACTCTTTTGAGTCCTTAACAGGCATTGAGACATATTTCTCCATGAAGGCCTAACGGTGAAAATTGGCGATTTTGGTTTGGCGACAGTGAAGTCACGGTGGAGCGGCTCTCAGCAGGTGGAGCAGCCCACTGGCTCTGTGCTGTGGATGGTGAGTTGGGCACACTTGGCAGATGGTGCTCCCTGAGAAAGCAGGAGAGGAGAGGTCAGGTTGGAGTTGGTGCGCTCATGGCAGCTGGGCAGACTATATAAACCCTGAGCTGGGTTTAGCCCCCATCTGGCACTGGCATCTGTGGGGCCACCCCAAGGCGATGCATGGATCTGTCCCTGCAGGCCCCAGAGGTAATTCGCATGCAGGACAACAACCCGTTCAGCTTCCAGTCTGACGTCTACTCCTACGGCATCGTGCTATATGAGCTGATGACGGGGGAGCTCCCCTACTCCCACATCAACAACCGCGACCAGGTGACTCGCTGCGCCCTAGCCCCTGGCTGCCTGTGAACCTATGGGTCCCCTCCCTCCACTCACCGTTCTCTCTCCTAGATCATCTTCATGGTGGGCCGAGGTTATGCCTCGCCAGACCTCAGCAAGCTCTACAAGAACTGCCCCAAGGCCATGAAGCGGCTGGTGGCGGACTGCGTGAAGAAAGTGAAGGAGGAGCGGCCTCTCTTCCCCCAGGTGAGGCCTCAGAGGGGTGTGGGGCAGGTTTAAATGGGGAGGGGACCCGGCCCGAGTACCAGCTGACAGAGCCCCGAGCCCTAGCTGACGATCCTCATCACTGGGTTTCAGATCCTGTCTTCCATTGAGCTGCTCCAGCACTCTTTACCCAAGATCAACCGGAGCGCGTCTGAGCCATCCCTGCACCGGGCAGCGCACACTGAGGACATCAACGCATGTACGCTGACCACATCCCCGAGGCTACCTGTCTTCTAGTTGGCTCTGCACCCAGGGAGGGAGGGAGTCAGCAGCACCACTCATCTACTGTCCTTGGGGCGAAGCGCACGTGTCCAGAAAAGCTGCTAAGGACCTTCTAGACCACACACAGGGCCTTACTTCACGTTGCCTTCTTCTCTACCCACGTGGCCCCAGAGGAGGAAGCTGGTCACCACCCTGCTGCCTCGCCCCTGTGGGCCTAGCCTTCTCCAGGTGCACACATCTCACGCAATACTGCGCTGGGCCCTGGCGGGCAGCAAGGGGGCGTATTTTGGGAGAGAAAGGTGGTGAACAGCCTGGCCCCATTGCGGGGACACATGGTGTTTTGGAAATCGGCTTTTTCACCTCTCAGACGGTGCAGGGCCAGTTTTGCACATATTGCACCAAACAGCCAGGACTGCCGGGACCCCAGCCGCAGAGAGCCTGCTTTTGGTACTATGGAACTCGACTATGGGGACGTGTCCCCATGTCCCATCTGCCCTCCCCAGGAGCAGCCCGCCTCACCGATTCTGTCTTCCAGGAGCTGCCCCTGTCCCAGGGCAAGCGCCGGCCAGCCCTGTCCCCAGTCACCCTCAGTGTTGTGTATGCAAGGAAGCCAGGACCCAGGTTTTCTTGATGATCTGGGTTTTAATTTTGTTTTTATTGCACCTGACAAGATACAAGTTATCTGATTGTTCCTCAATTATGTTATTTTAATAAAATAAATTAAATCTAGGTTTGATGGCTGTTAACTCCTTTGGAAGCAGGCCAGGCTCCCGCTGCAGTTCTGCTTCCTTTCTTCTACAGCAGAATTCGAGCAAGTGGAATAGACTTCATATGGCCTAACTGTAAAAAGCAAAAAGGACTCTAAGGTCAGAGAAGAGAGCTTCTACCACACTTCAAGTAATGCACTTTATAAAACATTTGATAATCTATAGCTTTTTACAAAAATAAATTCAGGTTTGGAAAAATTGGTTCTGACTTGCATGATCACATCAACTCTTCAGTTAAAATCAAACTGATGGCAGAAGACTTGGCCTCAGGTCTCTTCAGGACCAGAAATGCTTTCAGCGTGCCAAAGTTTTTACAAATCACCTACACCAGGCCTTCAGGTAAGATGGGATGGCTTGAGTACTAGCAACGTGGGTTTAGAACCCTCAGCAGAATGACCACGGTGGGCACGAGCCCCCGGGAGGGCAGGGACTCCATTTCCCAGGCAGAAGACAGGGCCTTGCACTGTTGCTGCGCATGCGGCACGTGCCCACGGCTCTGCCCTAGAGCACTGGAGGGACTCAGCCCAGCACAGTCTGTGTCAGGTGCTCTTATACCCACTGTTTAAAGCACAAGAGAGCTTCACTGTAGAGTAATCCTTTTGCAGGTTTGCAGAATCCTTTGGTAAGAAAAATGAATCTGCGCTACCAATTTACTGTTTCTGAGGAGAAAACAGGTCAAAAAGGATAGGAGCCAGGTTGCCCTAAAAGCAATCAAAACAGTCCAGACAGTTAACTCCCCTGAGGAGCTGCAGGTTCAACTAAGATATCAACTATAAAAATAGTGATTGCATATGTTTAGTAGGTTATTTTATATCCTCCTCGTGTCCCTGGACTGTCATACTGGAGTGGGTAAGATCAAGAGCAAGGGCAATCTGCTCAGCTCCAAGCGGCGGGCTACATGCGGCGGCGTCCTGGCAGAGTGGGTGCCGACAGCGCCCAGTGTGCAGGGCGGCTGCTGCCTTCAGGGTTCCGGTGACTCGACTCCGGAAAGGTGCATGAAGAGGTCCCCAAGCTCAGCCACGTCCACATCCTCAGTGCTGGGGACCTGACGGGTTTCACGGTTCTCGATGAAATCCCAGAGCCGCACTGAATTAAAGAACTGCAAAGAGAGCCACCAAACATGCCCGTCACCACCAAAGGTGACCTGCAGGCCGTGCCCGTGTCGTCCTGATGGCCACCCCGCACTCTGTCAAGATGGTCAGAGGATGAGCCCAAAGCTCAGTGTCCCCCTCCCCTCCCCACAGCAGCCCTGTGCCCTGTGCTTACCCTCACAGTGCCTTCAGAACTGAGCTGTTTGCGGGGCTTCTCGGGCTCTGCCAGCCGCCCGTCAGGGTAAGCATGGCGGTAGAGGCATTTGCTTCCAAATGGACAGGTCCCTTTACCTTGCTCGAAGTATTTACAGGCTTTTTTCCTGAAGAGTGGAGAAAGTGTTACGAGGCAGGTGGGAGAATGTGGGGTGCAGGCGCAGAAACGGGCCTGGACAGAGGCTGTGTTGTATCTCAGGTCACATTACAGCTGGGGGACAGAATGACAGCAGCCAGGGGGCTAAAAACAAGGCCCAGCAGCTCCTCTGGGGACTGAGAAGTAAAGCTGGGGTCCTTGCATTTGCTCACAGTCCCCAGGCATAGACACTTCCCCTCCTGGGCAGCAGTGCTGTCAAGGTGAGCCCGGGCCAAGGCACAGGAAAGCAGTGGGCCTGGGCAGCCCTCTGAGCCTCCAGCTCGGTCCACTTCCCTCGTCCTCACCTCTAGGGCACCTGACTCGGGACATGCCTCCCACCTTGGAATTCCATCCAGAGTCCCCTCGGCCGTGTCTGGTACCAAAGCCAGATGCACATCCAGGCCATCCTCCTCCCTCCATGTCCTTCCGCACATCTCTTTCCTCTCCAAGGACCCAAGCTGGCACCTCCAGGTAAGTACCTGTCACTCCAGCCTAGTGCCACATGCATGGCGATTCCCAGTCAGGGCTTCCCAACAGCCCCACATGGGTGCCCTGTGCTTTGTGATCTGGCTTGGGCCGCATTTCTCAACACCAAACACCCAGGGAGCACATGGCCTGAAGGAGCCCGGGCACCCCAGAGAAGTGGGGCCACGCCCAGCAGTTGGCCAGCTGCCCCGCCATGCTTGCCCTCTTGTGGACAGTCAGATGACAGGCGGGAAACAATGCAGGGGAAGAAACCTGGGACACAAGGTTTAGTAATGGATGGCAGCACAGAGAACCACTTTTTTTCTTTGGTGCTGGCAGTCAAACTCAGGACCTTGCACTTGTCAAGCAAGCACTGTACTGCTGAGCTATATATCCTGACCCCAAGGGAACCACTTTAAAAGGTGGTATCAAGTTCCACTTTAAATTTCCTTTCCCTGTGAATTATCCTGTCGTCACTGGAGAGGGAACAAAAGCAGTAAGAGCCTGGGGGAGGAGGGGCGTCAACACCTGCAGGGCTGGATGTGTGGAGGAGGGGCGTTCTGGTCCAGAAGGCCAAGAGCAGTGACGGAAATGCAGCCGCCGCACAAGGGGGTATCGGTCCAAGGGGGTAGGTAGGAGGAGTGCCCGGCCTATGGTTTGTGTCACCTGCCCAGAGCTCTGAGCAGCGTCTAAGCCACTTACTCAAAATAGCTCAGATGCAGAGAAGGGAGAAGGTACAGCTCTGAGAGAGTTCGGGTGTTTTACCGATGTGTTAAAAACACTTTCGCTCGGCAAGGTGGTACATGTTTGCAATCCTAGGACTCTGGGGGCTGAGGCAGGAGGGTCACAAAGTTCAGCCCAGCCTTGTCAACACAGTAAGACTGCTCAAATTAAAAAGGGCTGGAGATGCAGCTCAGTAGCAGTCAAAACAACCAAGACCCATTCTTAAAAAAGAGACCAGCCTCCAGGTGACAAGGATTGCAGAGTAGCCACATGTATGTGTTGGAGATGAATCGAGAAGGAAAACAGATTGAGAACAATTCCACAGAGCCCCCAGAGACTGAAGGACAGTATCAAAAAGCCTATCACACATACATAGTCAGGAGAAGAAAAACAGGGTAGAAAAAAAGGTTGATGAAACAATGGCCTAAAATTTGCTGAATGACAAACATACAGATTCAGAGACTATAAAGAAGTACGGTATGAAGAAAACCACTACTGGGCCCAATGCAAGTGCAGACAACCAGGATGGAGAGAAAATACGGGGAGCAACCAGATAATGACAAGCTCCCCAAGTTCCCATCAGAATCATTACACCACATTAAAGCAGAGTGCTGGGAAGAGAACCCCGGAGCCCCAGCCCATGAGGCCGAAATACTCAGTGAGGAGCACCTTCCCAAAGGGGGTCTTGACAGGAAATCAAAGTTACTGCCCCACTGAGCAACCAAGTGTGAAAAGTAGTTTTTGAGGCACAAAGCAAATTACGCTAAGTGAAGGAATTCTGATCATCCCTTGAGCTCCTGGGGACTTGGTTCCAGGGCTCCTTAGACCCCACGATCCATGGGTGCTCATCAAGTGGGATCATGCCTGCATGTGGCCTCTGCACATTCTGCCACTTCCAATCAACTTCAGACTATTGCTAATACAGTGCAAGTGGCATGCACACAGCTGCTGCAACACATTTTTCAGGGAAAAGGAAGAAAAACCCACCTGTGGTCAGGAGAAATGCAATCTTTTTCCTGAGTGTTTTCAATCTAGTTGACAAGCTCTATGGCCCATGAGTACAGATGCTGGATTATGTACATCTAATGAAAGAACGTCACACGTATCTGGGTACTGAGCTACATGCCTGGCCTTTTTTATTTTTGAGACAGGTCTCACTAAATTGCTGAATTACCGAAGTTGGGCCTGAACTTGCCATCCTCCTGCCTTAGTCTCCTAGAGTGCTGAGATTACAGACATACACTGAATCCAGCCAATATTTTCCTCTTTTAAAAAACAAGTTTGAGCCGGAGATACAGCTCAGCAGCTCAGCACCTGAGCACCTGCCTGGCAAGTGCAAGGTCCTGAGTTCTATTCCCAGTACCAAAAAAAACTTCCAAAAAACAAAAAAATAAGTTTAAGGCAAAAATTATGTTTTCTACCTTACAGCTTATAATATGTGTATTACATCTATAGTGCAAAGATAGTAATGAGACGTAAAAGTTGGTAGCAAAAATTATGAAATCTCTTTATAAAAAAGAGGTCAAGCTGGCTAGGGTGCAGGTTAGTGGTCCAGTACTTATTTAGTGAGGCCCTGGATTTGATCCCCAGCACCACACCCACACCCACACCCACACCCACCCACACACACACTCCTGTATGTTAAATGGCATTCTAAAGTGTTCAGAACTGAGAATTGAGAACTGCGGTATCCATCAACAGAAGAATGGACAAACTAGGCAGCAGGCAGCACTCAGGCTCAAGAAGGCAGAGGTCAGAACCGAACCCAGGACGGCGTGAAGGTCCTGTGAATTCCAAGAACTTACCCCATCCCCTGTTTGAAAGCTTCGATCAACTCATTCTTTTTATCCTGATCTTCTACCCAGTACACACTTGGGATGACAAACTCGGATATTACACGGCATTCTGGACAAGACCTGAAATAAGAATCAGGTTAGTAAGGGAGAAATGCTGTCATGACTCCTGTGCACGTCCCACTCCAGAACTCGGGCTGCTCCTATAGGTGTCTCCTTCACCAAAGATCCCAGGAAGTATAACCATCCAGGAACGACACTTAACTGCTGAAAACAGGCTCTTCAGTAGTAAGAAGTAAAGGATTTAAAAGTTAATAAAGTGCTAGGGATATAGCTCAGTGGCACAAGCACCCTGAGTTCGATTCCCAGTGCCAAATAAATAAATAAATAAAAGCCAATAAGCATTCGAACCACCACCAGAATATACACTCACTAGAGGTGCTGTGCAAGCACACAAACGTGTGTCTTTAGGCCACTGACCTGACTCACCAGGCCTCGGTTTCTTTTTCTATAAGATGAGGGTGACAGCAGGGGTTCCCGAGCTAAGAAGCTGCTCCACAGGCATGTGTGCCCCCCCAACCTGTGCCAGCCATACAGGGCACATCCATATGCCAGGCAACAGGAAATGACCCCACACACCATTTCATGTAATCCTCTTTTTTCCTTTAAGGTGAAAATTAAAACATCACAAGGTTACTAGGCAACTGGGCTAAGGGCACAGGCTGGTCTGGGAGATGGCACTGATTAGGAACACCAAACACCTGCCATCTGCTGAGTCCCCAGGCCCCGAGAGGAACTGTCACCACCTTCAGAGGAAAAGGCATTGGGCTCAAGAAGGCCAAGTGAGCTGCCCCATCCACAAGGCAGGGTGAGGAGGTCAAGGAACAGGGCGGCAGTCGAGGGCAGAGATCCCCAGCCTCGACAGCGGCCCAGGCGCGCTTACTTAATGATCTGGTTTTCGAACTGCTTGGCACAGCGCCACTGGCGGATGCAGGACAGGCAGTAGGTGTGGTTGCAGCTGGACAGGATCCCAAACCTCCTCTCGGAGGCCGATGCCTTCTCAAGGATCACCTCCATGCAGATGCTGCACACCTTGTCCTGGCTCGCCTGGAAGGCAAAGGCTTTCTCCATCTCAAACTCGAAGGTTGCCATGCAGACCTGTGACAGACAGTGGGAGGGGCTCAGGTTCTAGGACACCACCAGAGGACACCAACATGGCCTGGCTGCCAGGAGTGAGGTCAGCACCCAGGACTCAGGTCCCTATCAAGCTGCAAAGAAGGCTGCAGGCCACCTTGCTCTGCTCCTTGCTTTCCTAGTTGGATGTGGCCACCTCTCACTTACAGCAGGGTCACAGAGACCTGCAAAGGCTAAGAGGACAGCCTCGGGAGCGGGGAGGCCGTAAGGACTGGGATCCTGTCTCCTGGCCTCTGGATACTCCCCCACCCAGCAAAACGCTGAAGCGAGCAGCCCCCCTCGGGGCAGCAGCACAGTACTCCCTGAGAACACTGCCTGGGCCTCAGGCAAGGCCTCAGACGGGCTGTGAGCGAGCACAGTGAGCCAGCCCAGGCCTGCTCACGGGCAGTGTGGAGCTTCCACGCCTGCTCATTCCCACCACAGGGGCCTTCTCTTGTGAAGGGGCCACACTGCTCAGCTCAACAGCATTTAGTCCTCCTCACCTGATGTAACACATCTAACACGGAGGCCCCCAAGCCTCTACCCTCTTCAGAAGCCCTGTGCCAAGCACACGGCATAGCACGGAGCAGAGCTTCCAGGTATGCTGGGGCATGCACGATAAAGAGGTCCTGCCAAACACTTGGCGCCTACGGGTTCCCTCACAGCCTCCACGACTCAGCCTGCCTGGACCCCAGGCACAACAAGGAACGGACAGGGAGGCAGGACGTGCACATATATCCCCCAAAATCCCGAGGTTCTTCTGTTCTTGGTTGTGGTTTACATTTCTGATGCCTACTCCTTTTCTCTTTAAGTAATCCAAAAGTGACAAAATCACAACAGCATTTTTAAAAAACCCTGAACATGGGATGTAAATGGACCAGGGACACAATGCAGCTGGCTTCTGGCAGAAAGATGGCTATAGAACAAATGACCCTGTTCTTTGGTACAGTCTAGCTTTCTCATCGAGTTCATGTCAATGTTACCTTCTCATGAGCGCTCCTCTGTTCTGAGTCAAAAGGATGCAGGACTGGGAGCCTGCAGATGTCGCACACATCCCCGTGCAGGTAGACACAGGCATCCCCGAAGCGGCACTCCCCGGCTGCGGCGTAGGGGCACAGCTGCTGCTCACTGCTGTAGGAGCTGCCAGCCTCCACGTTATCAAGGCCACTCCTAATGGCATCCAGGTAGGAATGGGGCTTCATCTCGGGGCCAGGCTGGGGCTCGCTGTAGCCAGCTGGGTGACTTGGGGCCACGCCTGGGGGAGTTTTCTCTTCAGCCAGGCCAGAGAGATCTTAATACAGAATCAACCATGCACACATGAGAATGGGTCACTAGCCAAACCCAACAGTCAGTAACACTGGCCCAAGGAACCCACTGTTGGGAACAGAGAGCAAAAGAGCAGGGCCACAGGGAAGAAAAGGACGGTGTAATTTTAATAATGAAAAGGCAAAACACATACATGCACAGGCAGGGAAAAGAACAGAACGGAACATGATAAATTTATACAAAAGAATACTTACTAATGTTTGAAAACGTGTACACAAAAATGTGAACACACAGACTAGTTACCATGACACCTACCCCTAAACCTAAACTGAAGGGAATTCAGGATGAGGTCAGGCTGCCCTGTGCACCCCTCCCCTGGAGCTTCCTGACCTGCAGATGGGCCTATCCAGGGACTAGGAAGGGCCAGCCACCTGTGCCATGCCGGGGCACAGCACACTCCAGCCCTGATAGGCTCTCCTGTGCCCAAAGCCATGATCCAGACCCTCAGCAGGGTGGCACAGGCGGCAGCAATACTGCACAACATCAGTGGCCAACAGGGAAACCCACTCTTTATCCCAACATGCGGCCTCCCCACTGTGAAGAAGGTAATGACGTCGTGATAAGACCACGTCTTCTGCTCGGCCAGGCCGAGCACAGCACCGAGCTCGCGCTCTGCAGCCCCATGGACCGAGGGCGTCAGGTCAGAGTGTCTTGATGGGAGACGCCGGCATGGAACATCAAGCACAGGCCCACTGTGTCCCACTGGGCGGCGGCGCCCTGTTTACTCACTCCGGTCTCTGAGCACCAGCGTCCTCTTCTCCCGACGCCCGAGCCCAGGCTCTCGGGACGGTGTTTTCACGGCAGCCGAGGTGAGGTCAGAAGGAGGGGGAGGACCCGGGAAGGCTGCGGAGGGCCGAGTGGGGGGCGGGGGACCCGCAGCCCCCCCAGCTGCAGCTGAGGGCCTGGTGTGATCATACCTGAATGGAATATGGCAGGAGTCAGCCTCATGCCGCACACCGCACCCCAGCCACCACCGGCCCCTTGGCCCCCATCTTTCCAACGGTAGTGGGGACGAGAAGAGGCGTCAACAGTGGGCACTGCTTGGCCATTGGGGAGTGAGTGGCACACCTGCTACTGGGCACTACACAAGTGTCCACAGAACGCTGCTCCAGGCAGCCCAGGAGTTTCGGCTCGGCTCAGCCAAGAGCCGAGCTGAAATCACGCATGTGGGTGGCAGCCACCGTGGTGGGGCTGGGGGCCCTCACCCCTCAAGAGCCCGTCAGCTCACACCCTGCTGCATCTGGAGGCCGTAAAACTCGCCAGAGGCGGCTCGGGAGCGAGTGCTCCTGCCGCCAAGGCTACGCGCACTTCTATCAGGGACAGCACATCGCACTTACTATGAGGAGATAGAGAAGTAGCGCGGGCAAAAGCTTAGGACACATTTATGGGGCAAAAAAGCAAGATTTAAAATTTTACTTTTTCGTAAGAATAGGGCCTGAAAAGTGGCACTGAAAATTAAAAGTAGTTTTAAGAAGTGAAATAGCTTTCCAAATTATTCGCCGTTTGTCTGTAATGTCCTGTTTCTCTGAGCTGGAATTCCCCGTGTGGGGACCCATGTTTCACACACGCGGAAGCCCAGGGCACTGCATACTTGCCTGCACCGTGTCCCGTAGGCGCAGCAGCCCTTCTGGTAGTACTTGCAGATGGTGGATGGCTTGCTGTTGGCCAGGTCATGCGAGAACAGGCACTGGCTGCCCTCTCGGCACACTCCATGCATGAAGTACCTGCAGAGACAAGCAAGGCATGCTGCTTACTGAAGGCACCTGCTCCCTAAGCCAGCGTATTCTCACCCCACCACACTGCGGCTCACCACGTGGACACTGTGGGTCAGGCTGCATTAGGCCCTTGAGAGACACAGTCCCTGATGCTACGACAAAGGGACTTTAGGTGTACCACAATGACTCCATGACAGCCTTTCTTGAAGAAAAATAAACAGCGCCAGGAGTCTTTAAATCAAGATATAGCCTCCTGATTTCAGATGTGATAAATATGTATAATGTGAGCCTCATAACTGAGAAAATAGGGGCTTTTTGTTTCGTTGTTTTGTTTTGTTTTGTTTTGTTTTGTTTTGTTTTATTGAGACAGGGTCTCACTGTGTAATTCAGGCTGGCCTCAAGCTCACTGACATCCTCTTGCCTTAGCCTCCCAAGTGCTGGGATTACAGGCATGTGCCCCTATGCCTGGCATCAGATCTCTTACAGGGTACTGACTCTAATGCAGTCAGATCTGGACTCAGATCCACCTCTAACCGTCACCACCACTCTAAAGTCCCCTTTATCCCAAACATGATTATACTACCTACACTTCACTAGATAGTTGTGGTGAGAATCAAGTGCCAAGACAGTGGGGCAACAAAAGTGGTGTATGAGAATGTTCCACTGAGAGACCAAATCCTGGTCCACCATAACCAGAGTACAAAGTAACTGGGAGGCATTCTAAGTCCATCCAACTGAGAGTTGGCTGAATATTAGGGGAAACCGAGAGACCCCACAAGGACATGTTTTGGCATGAAAGCTAGTCCCGAAATAAAAGAACATTTTAGTGAGTTTAACTAAACTCTCTGAAAGGACCCAGACACAAACCACATACTGTCTGATTCTACTTACATGCAGTGTTCAGAAAACACAAAGCTACAAAGTAGACTGGATGGTGCTGAGGCTAGGACAGTACTAAGTGTGGAGTGACTGCTCAGCAAACATGGGGCCGGGGACATAGCTCAGCAGCACAGCACCTGCCTGGCAAGCGCAAGGTCCTATATTCAATTCCCGGTACCAAAAAACAAACAATAAAAACAACAACCCCCCAAAACACAAACAAAGGATCTTTTGGGGTGATAAAATATACTAAAATTTAACTGTTGTGATAGTACTAAAAATCTTTGCATTCTATACTTCTGAGAGGCAATTTTTCGGTACATAAATTATACTTTGATAGAGTTGTTAAAAAAGGAAAAAAGAAAAAAGAAAAAAAAAAAAAGAAGGTTTATGATAGATTAATAGACAACAGAAGGGACATAAAAACCTGATGCAGTATTCAGTTCTGGAATCTATTTAGTTTGGACAAAGCAGAGACAACTGGGAAAATGTGAGAACGGACTAGGTATTAGGTAAAATCAATGACTGTTAACTGAAAAGAATAGATTATAAAAGCATATATACAATAAAATGGTACAACGGCTATGGAAAAAAACGTTTAAAACAGATTTATCAAAAAAAATTTAAAAATAGATTTATCTTATGGTTCAGCAATTCCATTTCTGGGTATTCACACAAAGGAACCAAAGGCAGTACTGTGTTTCAATTTTTACAAACCCATGTTCATACAACGGCATTAATCACATAGCCAAAAGATGGAAGCAAATCAAGTGTTCATGGATGGACGAGTGGGTAAACTAGTAGTGTAAGCATGCAATGGAATAGCACTCAACCTTAAAAGACATTCTGACACAAGCTATTGCATCGATGAACCTTGGAGAGAACATTATGCTATGTGAAATAAGTCACTCACAAAAATACAAGTATGATACCAGCTACAGAAGTATAGTAAATCCTGTTTTCCAAGGAGTTCTGTTCTGAGAAAAAGTTTATAAGTCAGATTCATTCCTAAATCTAACAAAGTGAGTCTTATACCATATCTGTGAAAGTACACAACTCAGACGTTCATCTGTCAGGGACTTACTGTACCTGGATTAGTTAAATTCACAGAGATAGAAACTAGCATGATAGTTGCCAGGAGTTGGGGAGAACAGAGAAAAGAGAGCCATTGTTAACGGGCATAGAATTTCACTTTTGCAAGGCAAAGATGTGGATCTGGTTACACAATGATGCGAATGTACTCACAACTATAAACTTAAAAATGGCTAAGATGGTCAAGTTTATGCTACCGTATATAGTTTCCCACAATAAAAGTTTTTAAGCCAGTATATAAAGAATGGTCCATTTTGGTTAAAAAAAAAAAAAAAGATAAAATAAAAAAATAAAAAACACTGTGAATTATGTATAAGCACTTAAAAACTCTCATACATAACAGTGTGTTAAAAGAGTGGTTATTCCTGAAGGTCAGTATATAGTTTTCTTGTTTGTGTTTTTGCAGAGGTAGGGATGGAACCCAAGGGCTTTCTGCATGGTAGGCAAATGTGCTACCACTGAGGCATATCCCCCACACCTGGTACATGGTATTTTTGTCTTGGTTTTGAGGATTTGTACATTCTAACATTTCTACCACGAACATACACTGCCTCTGTAACATGAAATGTGGTTTTAGTTTTAAAAATTACAAAGACAACCAATCCAAGGATGTGGTTCTGGGATAGGCGTGGTGGCGCACACCTGTAATCCCAGCACTCAGGAGGCTGAGGCAGGAGGATTGTTGCGAGTTCAAGACCAGCCTGGGCTACAAAATGAGCTCAAGGTCAGCCTGAACTGCATAGTGAGACCTTGTCTCAAAGACAAAAAAAAAAAAAAAGTGGTCTTAACACAGTATGTAAAATGCTCAGTACAAAATCCAGCCCATAGTGGTACCTGTTAAGAGTTTGGATCTGCAGTGTCCCTCCTCCTCCTCCTTCCGTTCCAATTGCGGTGGGCAGCTCTATCCCAGCCCGCCCTGGAGGCCACGCCGCTCTGCCCACCACAGGCCCTGAAGAGACAGAGCCCTCCAAAACAGGGAAGGTTGGGGGATGGACAGGGAAAGGTAAGGGCCTTAGGGAGGGTTCTGGCAAGGCCTGACTACAAAGAGTTAAAACCTTTGCTAGAGAGAGAGCAATTAATAGAAGCAGGGGGCAGGAGGCATGCTGGCTCCACTTGGCACCAGGGCCCCAATTTGCCCCACTTAAGTACAGAAGAGACAAAGTGGGGAGGGGGCTATATTATACAAAATTCACTTAGTATATAAGATATACACTTGCACCTGCACATGTAAGGATGCACGCGCGTGCGCACACACGCACACGTTCTCTCTCTCTCTCTCTCTCTCTCTCTCTCTCTCTCTCTCTCTCTCTCTCTCTCATATATTCTCTCACCATAGCACTGCACTAAAACATCCATGTACCCCTTTACTAACTGCTAATTGGGTCTTGTGAGGCCCATCATAAATCTTAGGGACAGCACTTTGGCAAGACGAAGAAGGCCAAATGAGCTCACCCAAGAATGTGCACATAGGCAATGGAGGGGTCAGTGACCACACCAGGGTCTCAGAGCCTGAACCAGCCAGTCAAGTTACCACAGCTCTGGGGTAGGGTGGGGTGGCAGTGTCTTTTTTTTTTTGCCATAAAATAACAGGGGCCAAGAAAGACCCCTGAGCACCGGCTCCAGGCTCCCTACCTTACTCTGACAAGGTAGCTATCTCCTCATTTCTCTCCTCTTTCCAATAAAGTGACTTTGTTTCTCCTTTTGAACTTATAGCTCTAATTTTTTATATAAGCTTATGATTCCCAGATAAATAAAATTTACCCTCACAAGACCAAAAAAAAAAAAAAAAAAGACCAAAATAGAGCTTTCCTCCTTTTCAATGGTTTCTGAGGGTTTTGCTTGTTTCATGGTGGTAATGGACAGTGAAACTAGGTCTCACACATGCTAGGCCAGCTCTCAGCCACTATGCTACAGCCTAGCCATTTAAAATTTTTTTTTTTCTTTTTGGAACTAGGAATCGAACTCAGGACCTTGTGCTTGTCAGACAGATGCTGTGCCACTGAGCTATATCCCCAGCTCTCTTTTTTTTCAAATTTTGAGACGGGGTCTTGATAAATTGTCTCAGCCTCCTAGGTGGCTGGAGTTATACGTGTACGCCACTGTGCCTGGCTCTCAGGTATTTTGTCACAGCAACTTTCAAAAGCTGACACAGCATCCAAACAAGTGCAGCTCTTATTAAAGGGCAGTAACGGATACTGGCAAACTGTTTAACGAGTACAGGCTGGCACTGGGATATGGATGAGACAGAAATGAGAGCTGTATGGTGATGCATGTCTGTAATCCCACACTCAGGAAGCTGAGGCAGGAGGATTACTATGAGTCTGAGCCAGGTGTGGTGGCGCATGCCTGTAATCCCAGCACTCGGGAGGCTGAGGCAGAAGGATCATTGCGAGTTCAAGACTAGCCTGGGACACAAAGTGAGCTCAAGGCCAGCCTGAACTGCATAGGGAGACCCTGTCTCAAAAAGACAAAAACAAACGAACTATGAGTCTAAGGCCAGCCTGCACTACATAATGAGTTTAAGACCAGCCTGGACTACACAATGAGACCCTGTCTCGAAAAACAAAAACAAAAACAAAAAACAAAAAAAAAGAGAGAAAGAAACAAGGGCAGAGGGAGGGCAGGCCACAGACTTGCAGAAGGTGATAGCAGGAGATGGCACTGGGAAAAGCGTGTGCTAGAAAGCGGACAGACTCCAGGGACAGGGCCGGGGTGGGGAACAGTCCCCTGCCAAGCCAGAAACACCCTGGCATCACAGCCTCAGAAAGAACAAGGCACGAGGCCATCAGGAAGCTGTGTGGAGCAGAGGAGAAACTTACAGCACACTGTGCCCGGGACACCTGCTTGAGCTGTGCTGACAGCCCAGGGAGGGGAAACCTCGGAGAAGAGCTACTGTGGGGTAGGGAAACTCCCCACGAGGGAAGGGACGGCTGTGAGGCCTTATCTGTGAACCCATGTTTTAACTTATTTAAAAAACACATTACAGGAGTTTTACACATCTACATAGCAGCCTGAAGGGCAGGCACAGCCCTGAGATG